CGCCGAGGTCCGCTTGCCCGCCGGCCCGAAACGGCCAGTAATCGCCAAACTTGCCGCCGGCCCGCATCATGCAGCACTTGAGTTCTCAATCAAACACCCCGAACTTCGAGCGGACAGCAGGTCGGCGTTGACTGAAGTTGTCGGGTTTTCCAGATCGGAGCCATAGATCGGTGGTCACAGTGCCTGGCTTTACAGCGTCGGCCCCCAGCGAACAGAAGGCAGCCCCCGGGCTGCTGTCGCCGCGCTGCCGCAGATGACGCACCCGTCGGTGTTCAGCCGGCGCGCCCCCAGGTCCCGCACCCACACCAGGCACGAGCGAGCTCGTACCCGGCACCTCACCGCACGGTCAGCCGCCACAAAGAGGCCGCCCATTGAGCAGCCTAACACGATTCGCTGCAGAGTGCGTCAAAATCGAGAACCGGCGTGGTGGTGAGTCTCCGCACGTCGCGCAGAGAGCGGCCGGATCGCGGCAACGGCCCCATCATTGCGTTCCTTCCCAGCAAAGACCGTCGCCGCCACTGGCTACAATATATTAAACATTTGTACAAAGGTACGTTTTCAGCAGCTTGCACCCGCTTCTTCCGCTCAGGCCGCGGGCCGCGCGGGGGCGGGGGCGGGCGCGGTCCGGACGGGCTCCGGCCGGCTCGACCTGGCCCACGGTCCCGGGCCCGGTCCCAGGCCCAGCCGGCGCGCCCCAGTTCCGGTGGCGCCCCCGCCGGCCACCGGCGGCCAGATAGAAAAAAAGAAACAGAGGAGGGGCGCGCTCAGCCGCGTGGCGACGGGAGGCACGCCGGCGCACCGGCCGTGCAGCCTCTTGATCAAGCGTTGGCCCCGTATTACCGGTAAAATGCATACGTAAGTGGAGTTGGGGGGCAGGGGAGTAGACCACCCGACGGGCCGACGCGCGCCCAGGGCGCCGGGTCAGCGCATGGCAGGTCAGGTCAGCGGCTGGCGGTACCCGCAGCTCGTCTGGAATGTAAGCACGAGACGGCCCGACGGCTACCGCCGACAACAAACAAGTTAAAACTCCCAGCTGGGGAGGGATACGGGCCGCGGACGGCGCGGCGCCCTGAGACAGGCAGCGGGGTCCAACAAATGAGGCAGTCCTACCCTGCCAAACAGACTTAAGATTATTACTATGCAACGCCGGGCCGGTGCGCTGCTGCCCACGCGCCCCGCGGCCAGATCACGTACGACACGCACACCCACAGCATTGTTGTCCGGCGATTAAACTACACTTTATACAGGATGGGCGGCGGGGCGCGCGTCAGCGGCGGGTGCGCGAGGGGCCCACGCGGACGACGGCCTCCGCGGCGTCCCGGTGGCGGGGCGCGCGTGCGTGTGCGTGGGGACGCACCGCGAAGGGGGGGGGGGGGGGGGGGCAGCCAGGACAAGTGCCCGGAGCGGGGCGGCTCGGACAGGAGGCGGGGCGTATCACAGCATAGTAATCGACAGCAGCGGCCGCCCGGTTTGCTTGGCGGGCCGCGGCCGGCGGGGCAGCGGCGGCGGGCAGCGGCGGGGCGACGGCGGCGCAGGGCCACCTTCAGACCGGGCCGTTGTTGGACGCCTCCTGCGCCGACGTCGCCTGCGCGGCGGCGGACGGTGCCCGGCCTTCTTCGACGGGCTGCGGCAGCGGAGCCAGGTCAGCCCGGCGCAGCCAAGGAAAGGCCGGACAAGCCGAGCAGGGCGGCGCCAAACAGAGGACCGCGCTCAGAGGGACCGCAGCTCTGACCATCAGACACACGAGCTCCCTCCTCCCTCCCCCCCCCCACACACACCTCTGACCATCAGCACACGAGCTCCCTCCTCCCCTCCCCGCACACACACACCTCTGACCATCAGCACACGAGCTCCCAAACACACACAGAGGCCTCTGCACTTCCGAGGACCACGCACCCGACCATCAGCACACGAAGCTCCTCTCCCCTCCTCCCCGCACCACCACACACTCTGACATCAGCACACGAGCTCCCTCCTCCCCTCCCCCCGCACACACACCCTCTGACCATCAGCACACGAGCTCCCCTCCCCTCCCCCGCACACACACACCTCTGACCATCAGCACACGAGCTCCCTCCTCCCCTCCCCGCACACACACACCTCTGACCATCAGCACACGAGCTCCTCCTCCCCTCCCCCGCACACACACACCTTGACCATCAGCACACGAGCCCCCTCCTCCCCTCCCCGCACACACACACCTCTGACCATCAGCACACGAGCTCCCTCCTCCCCTCCCCGCACACACACACCTCTGACCATCAGCACACGAGCTCCCTCCTCCCCTCCCCTCTTCCTCCCCCCCCCCCCCACACACAACCACCGACCATCAGCACACTCCTTTCCCCCCCCCCCCCCCCCCACCCACACACACACACCTCCGACCATCAGCACACGAGCTTCCCCTTCCCCCCCCCCCCCCCAACGCACACCACCCGACCACCAGCACACGAGCTCCCCTCCTACCCCGCCCCCCCCCCCCCACCCCTCCGACCATTAGCACAAGAGCTCCCCTCAACACACGCGCACGCCCGCGAGCTGCTCGACGGTGGCCGGTGGCGGCCGCCGGCTGCCGGACCTGGGCTGGCCGGCCGGCTGGCTGGGCGGCTGCCGCTCGGCGGCGCCCGTCTCTGGCGAGCCGTTCATCAGACCCTGCGACGTCAGGTAGCTGCCGGCACAGCGCCAGCCGTCAGGCCCAGGCCGGCACAGGGCAGGCCATAACAGAACGCGACAGGACAAGTGACCCCGATAACCCGGGCGCGTATGCTCGCGCCCGACTTTCGGTCGGACCAGTACGCGTCCGGTTCGGCTCGCGGAGCTGCGCCGGGCCGGACCAGGTCGATCCATATGGGATCAGATCCGACCCCGCCATACGTCCCCAGTTCAGCATGCCACGGCGTCCTCCGACGCCGTGCCCGCAGTCTCCCCCGCGGAGGCTGCGGCACCGGGCACGGACAAACGCGACGCACGGGTCGCGAGGGAGGACGCTGGCCGCCGCCTGGCCCGGCCCCGACGGCGCTGGTCCGGAGACGAGTGTCGGCGCAGTGGCGACACTGCCGGCTGAGGCGGCCGGTGGCTGGGCCGACCGGGACTGCGTGGCCCCGGCGGCGCGGACGCCCAGCGCCCGCGACGCCCCGTGCCGTCTCCCCACCTGTAGTTGTCGACGAGCCGCGCCGGGTCCGAGGATCGGCGGCTCGGCGCCGGCCGCCTGCTCCGGCGTGGAAGACTCGTGGAAGAGGGGCGTGAAGTCGCCGCCGGTGCTGTTCAGCTCGTGCGGCGAGTCTGACGGACCGTCGCGGACGTTAGCACTGGGCGGCGCGCTCGGTGAGAGACGCAAACGCGGCGCGGCCACCGCGCCACGCATGGCCGCCAACGCCGGACGCACGGAATTCAGTACCGGTAGATGGGACTGCACTCAGCCCACATGTTGCGGATGGATAATGGGCACTGGATACAATGGATAACGAGTTAAGTGTTCATGAAAAAGGAAAACTCGTCGGTGCCAGCTGACACATTGAGCACCTGTCATTTCTTAACACGGATGAAACGACAAGCCCGAGGGGATTGATCTGACTGATAACTGCACCAAAAACCATGATCATCACATTACTCCCCAATATCACCGGCACAAACGGTCAAAGCAATCGTGCGAGATCTAGGGAAGTGCTCCAGCTGCTGCCTATCGGCGTCCCGGCCGGGTCCCCCTGTCCAGCGTCGCCGCTCCTGTCCCCTGTCCCCTGTCACCGCCGCTATCTCACGACCGGGCGCCGGTTCAACAGCAGCCCAGCTGACACCAGTACTGACCGGCGCGCGGCGGGACGGGCTCGGCCACCAGCAGCTCCGGCTGCACCTCCATGCTGCTCTCGGATTCCTGTCCCTGCTGCTCTACTGCTGCTGCTGCTGCTGCTGCTGCTTGCGGCGACGGCTGCTGCTTGCCCCTGCTGCTGCTGCGGCGGCGACGGCTGTTGTTGCTGCTGCTGCTGTTGCTGCTGTTGCTTTGCTGCTGCGGAGGCGGTGGGCGGAGGCTGCTCGGGCGGCGGTGGCGATAGCTGGCCCTCTGCAGCGGCGGCACGTGTGCGAGAACGCCGCCTCGAAGTTGGAATGGAAGCCGGCGTCGCTCGGTCGCCGAGTACACCTCCCCCTGCGGCACAGGCCGACGCCAGTCAGCACTGACAAGTCGGGTCAGCCGAGGTCAGGCCGTCGGGCACACCGGGTCAGCTACCCCGACGACGTCCAGGTCACCGGCGCAAGTACCCAGGCCCGTCTGTGAAGCGGTGCACAGCCAGGCCACACACAGCCCGGGCCACTGCCGCGCGGGGAGCCGCACCAGCGCACGAGGCGTGCAGACCGCCCCGCCCGGGCGCCGCCACGGTCCCACCGCCCGGGCGCGGCGCACTGCTCGGCAGCGCCCGGTCCGCGGCGCGGCCCGTGGTCAGGGCCGGGGCGCCCTTTGGCTCTCGCGCGGCGGCGAGGCCGGCACGGCGGCCGGCGCCGGGGAAGGCGGCGAAGTCGGCCCAGTCGCTGGCGGCCGGGTCGGCGGCCGGCGCCAGACTCCAACAGGTTGGTGTCCATGGCGACCGGGTGGGCGGCACTGGCCTCGGCCCACGGGTCGCTCGTGTCCACCTCCATGGAGAGGTGGCCGGGCGCCGGCTCGTCGCCAGGCTCGGGCTCGTCGCCGTCCTCCTCGTCCGAGCTCGAGTGGCAGCGCTCGAGGCTGGCGGCCCGGCGCGCCGACCACGGCTCTGTCTCGTCCGGGCCCGCCGAACCGCTCCGCGCACTGCTGTGCGAACAGCTCGGCCGCCGACGGCCGCTGCTCGACGGCCCGCGTCCAGCGCCAGCAGGCCCACCGGCGTCAGGCTGCTCCGACGGCGCGCTGTCGGCACACGCCGCCGTCAGGTCAGGGGAGGCGAGGTCAGGAGATCGGTGACAAGCCGTCCTGCTGGAGTGAGCTCCTCGGACGGCGCAGCACCGGCAGACGGCGGTCAGACCAGGCGGCAAACAGCAGCATCGCAACCGGTCCACTCCGGCAGTGAAAACATGTCATCTTGCGCATACCACAGACGACAGACGGCCGTAAGCCACACGCCCTCACAGCCGCGGCCGTCGCCGCGATCAAACACGGCACGGACGCAAAGTCAGTCCCTGGTGCGACACGTCGCCCCGGGGGCGGCAGTCCGCCGGGCGCTGCCCACCTGAGCACGTCGCCGATGTCGTTGTACTCGTCGTCGCTGTGCCCCATCTGGTCGGACAGGCCGCTGCCAGTGCCGGCGTTAGTAGCTGGAAGTTGTGGAACGTCTGCACGGTCGGCGGGCGAGCGCGTCAGCTCACGGCGTCCGACTGCAGGCCCTCAGCATGTCACACCGGGCGGCGGCGCCGCGGCGTACACAGACGGGGCCGGCGGGAGCGGACGCCCGAGGCCCGGCCCCGACTACTGGCGGCGGCGCCGCGCCGTACGATGATGATGATGATTTGGGCTTTGGGGCGCACCGACTACGTTGGTCATATGGCGCCCATGGCGCCGCGCCGTACACAGACGGGGCCGGCAGGAGCGGCCGCCTGTGGCCGGGCGCAGGCCCGGCGGCGGCCAGCCCAGCCGCGCCCACAACACACAGCGGGTCGTGTTATGATGCTACACCCCTGCCCGCACATCCGTCCGCCACAGCTCGCCACAACGACCCCGGCGTCTGCGCGAACTGACCCTCAATATGGCTGCCTGTTGGGCGTCCGTGACTCCGCGGTAGTCCGAGTCGCTGCTCGAGTCCTGCTTGGTGTCGGGCAACACCGGCTGAAGCGTAAGGTCAATCCGCAGGTCAGACGACGGGATAACAACGGGGCATTAGGTTCACAGGACACACATACAGTCATGATGATGTTTAGGGGTTTTATGAGCGTGCCACAGAGCCGGCGGTCAATTGAGCGGCACGTGCTGAGAGGTCACCGGGTCACGGCGCTCGGCGCCAGGACGGCACGCGGCCAGACCAGCCCAAGACCGATTCATCGTCCTGTCGGCTTCTTTTGTTCCCAAGAAATTAACGAGCTCACGATTAATTACGATCTAGAGCACACTCCACCCGAACTCGAGAAGTCATCTCACACCAGATGAGTCAAACACAATCACGCACGCGGCTGCCCGGGAAGACGCAGCCGCGCGCCCCCTTGAACATCGACTACGACAGGTCGCAGGCGATTCTCCGCATCCGGCGCACATTGCACGCGTTGTCACATAGCACTGTGCCGTGCGGCCGTCAACTAACGGCCGGAGCGAGCCCAGCGGCGCGCGCGCATCTCACGTGCCGTGTGATCCACGCAGGCCCGCTCAATCACGCTCACCGTACGCGTGGGCCCGAATCTTTTAAGGCAGCCGCGCGCATCACTAGGCCCGACGCACCTGGTGTGAACTGGCCTTAGCACAAAGGGCGAGAAGGAAACGAGTCCAGCGACGGGCCGAGGGGCCCAGAGCCGCCCGCGCAAGGTGGCGCGGCGACCCACCTTGTTCTGTTCGTTAATGCGGTTGAGTTTGGCCTCCTTGAAGGCCTGCCAGGCGGCCCGGATGGGCTCGGGCAGCGCGTCCAGCTGGCGCTGCACCAGCTCGGCGTTTGGGCCTTTCTCGCACGCCGAGCAGATCTTGTTGGCCATGTTGACCAGGTGGCCGCAGTAGGCTCGCAGTGACCGGCAGCACCTGACCGACAGGCCTGTCTCGTCAGCGGGTGTCCGCCGGCCCAGACACGTGGCGCCGGTCTGCACCGGGCCGGCCACCCCGCTGCCGCCGCACGCCCGTGCCGCGGCCACACGCCACGCTCTCCGCCAGCCGTCCAGAACCAGTTGGCTGCCCGCGGCAATATCCACACGATCTCAGCTGATCAACAACCCTTTACGAAAACGCCACGGCAGCTATCGCTACTCCGACGGAAAAACACGGCCGTGCAGCATACAGATGGCGCTTAACATTTTTTCAGCCTGTTCCCAGGGGCGCACCCCGCCAACACATCTGCCAACGAGGCTCGCCTCCCGCATAAGACGAGCCATACTCGCCCAGACACGGCAGACGGGGTACGCACCGTTTCTGTTCCGAGGTCTCGCCGTTCGTCTGGGGTTCCTCCATGCCCTGCAGTATTCTCTGCACCAGCTTTGTCTTTGTGAATATCTGTGGGCAGCGGGGTGTTGCCATCAGGGGCGCGTCCATCCGAGTCGGACATAGCGGGCCGCTGCCACCAAGCTGCCGGCCGACGGTATCGGCCACAGACTCCGGCCACAGGCCGACCACCGGCAGCGGCGACCGGCAGCAGCCACCGGCAGCGGTAACCGGCAGCAGCCACCGGCAACAGCCATCGTCCCAGCATCGGCAGCGGCAGCCACCGGCAGCAGCCATCGCAGCACATCGGCAGCAGCCATCGGCAGCAGCCATCGGCAGCGGTCACGGCAATAGCCACCGGCAGCCGTCACCGGCAACGGCCACCGGCAGCCGCCACCGGCCACGGCTACAGGCAGCGGCCGACGGTGGTCGGTCGTAACCCCGTTATCGCCCGGCACCATTGATCGCTACACCCGGCCGGCAGGCCCCGATCCCGTCAGATGGCGACGGCGGCCGCGGCACGCGAGACAGGGCCGGTCGGTCGTGCTCGGGCTCCGTCCGTTCGGGCACAAGTCGCGGTCCCGTCCCGCCCCACTCCCCGTCCACTCCCACTCCCATTCCCCCATTCCCATTCCCATTCCCATTCCCATTCCCATCCCCATTCCCAGTCCGTTCCAGTCTCGACTGTCTCGCTGAAAAAAAAAAAATCGGGTAGGATCGGCGGGCAATTTGGAATTCACTTATGATATTCGTTTCGATAAAGGCAGGTTGCCGAAACATCAGCGCATCTACCTCTTCATTCTCCTGCTGTTTTCTACGATGAATAAGGCTAATGCTACTGTCTAACTGTGATACCCGTTCCCCACTACAATGAGAAGGAAGGGGGAATAAATGAAATTTGTCTTTCAAAATGTTCCAAAGATTTGACCCATATACCTCATCTCATTAAGTCACAGGCCACTTCCAAAATTGCATGCATCAATTGATAGCGTTGCACACACATGGTAAAAAAATTATGGATGTTTCGAGTTGTGACGTCAGTTACTACAATGTACCCCATAACCCCAATCTTCATTGTGCTGCGTCACAATTGCCGCAATGTCAAATTTCTCACGGAGTGACCAGAGCCAGTCTCCTATATGGTGTTTGATACCCTTACGTGGATATATCACGCAATCGCACCACACAGAAATCACGTGGTAGCTCTGACATGATTCATGATT